GCTGATATTTTAAGGCGAACGACACTATTTTCATCCCCACTTGACTAGGCGGCCTCAGAGGACTGGCCTACTCAGTAAATATTTCAGCAAGTCGACTTTGGACAATACAATAGTTTCAACAGGTATCAAATAGTACTCCAACTTCATGCATGCATAATATAAAAATAAATATAGTTTCTCGATACATGCATAACGAATTTCAGCATTGTTCAAAGTCTTAATGAGATAATAAATAGCTCTTTCTTAGCCTAATTCGTCATCCTGCACGAGAAGGCAGCCGATAGTGTCCTCCATCACCGAAATGTAAAGTTTCAGCTCCTTCCCGGGGGTTGGCGGCATTAGCACCGGTGGTGATGCAAGGGCCTGCTTGATCTATTTCAAAGCGGCGTGTTGTGTTGCTCCCCATTCAAAGGCTTCCCAGTTCCCGCGTAGCAATACGGAGAACACCTTCATCTTTCCTGCAGCGTTAGCAACGAATCGTCGTAGAAAGTTGATTTTGTCCATCAAGCTTTATAGTTCTTTAAGATTGCATGGGGGCCCAAATTCCTGGATTGCCTTCACCTTGTTCTAATCAATTTCGATCCCAATTTGATGGACGAGAAAGCCCATGAAATTTCCTGCTTGAACGCCAAATGTGCACTTTGTCGGGTTCATTTTATGGTCGTGCTGCCTCATTCCGATAAAGAACCTCCGGAGGTCAATGAGATGGTGGTCAAATGCTCTAAATTTTACAACGACGTCATCAATGTAAAATTCCATACACTCATCAATTAAGTTATGGAAGATCGCGTTCATGGCCTTTTGGTAAGTTGCTCCGGCGTTCTTCAATCAAAGGACATTACAATCCACTCGAATATGTCAAACGCCCCCGGACATTGAAACACCATTTTATGGGCATCCTTCTCGGCTAGGTATATCTAATTATACCCCGAGTACCCATCCATAAAAGACAAGATCTCGTACCTCGTTGTTGAGTCGACAAGCATATCGACGATCAGCATAACGTACTCATCTTTGGGTGTCGATAAGCTAAATTAAGATTGCAAAAATTGATACACACTCGGATCTTCCCATTTTTCTTTATTACAGGTACGATATTAGATATCCAATCCGGGTATAGATACGTACGAATGAAATTCTCCTTAAGCAACTTTTCCACTTCTTCTTTGACCTTTGGCATCAACTCCGGGATGAAACACTGTGGGGACTATTTGTAAGGTTTGAACGACGGCATGGTGGGCAGCCGATGTTCAACCAAATTTTGGATAGACCCAACATTTCATGATATCCTACGCGAAATAGTCTGGGTACTTTCAGATCAGCTCCGTAAGTCGCTGTTTTTTATCCAGAGGGAGTAGAAAGGTGATCCTGGTCATCCGGGGTATTGTATCGATGCCGAGATTGATTTCCTTGAGAGGATTCCGTACTTCGAAGGATGAGGTAGCCCTCTGAATAGGCTAGGGAAAATCATCTTCGTTTTGGTCCTCTGGAGGATCTGTCTGCCTTTCAAGAATCTGAACCGGGATGGATCCAGTAATCCATGTAGCATCATATGTCTCGAGAATCCGTCCTTCTAGGTCCTGAAACACTTCCTAGTCGTGTTATTCATTACAAATGTTTTGGAAAATGGGTCGTGTGTCAGCCTCCGTGTGGATTTTGAACCCCTTCATCGTAAGGTTACATTTTGTCCATGTATCTACATCACTCAACATCATCGAAAGCTGATACATGCTAGGTGAATAATAGATTGCCTCAGCTACATGGACCTCCATCGCTGGATCGGTTTCGGCTTTGACTATTTCTACACGATAAACATTCCAAAATATCACTTTTTTATGTAGGGTGGGGGGCACACACTGGGTAGTGTGAATCCAGTCCCTTTCTAAGATAGCTGAATAAGTGGGTTTGCCTTTGATCACGAAGAAGGCCATTCAGTCGGTATGACTCCCCACTGTTTCATCAGCCACTAATACACCGGCGGTCGAATATGTATTCCCATAAAATCTGTGGTCCGCATGGTAGTAGCAATCAGATCCGTACGGTTTTTTTTTTCGATTTTCCGGAGTGTAGACAAAGCCATCACGTTAACGGATGTTTCTCCGTCGACCAAAACCTTGCTGATCGTGCGATCATCGAGACAGAAGGTTAGGAACAATGGTTTAAGGTTCCGTGTTTGTTCGTAGGCTAACTTCTGAAAGGTGACCAATTCTGATTCCTTCTTTGGCACCTCATGTTCCGGATCAACCCACGATAAAAGGCCAGTTTCTTTTACTAGTATGACCCCCTGGAAATAAGAGGGTTGGACCTCCGGCTCCATGAACTCTTTCGGTAAGAAACCGATAGTGTTCACCCGAAAGTCCTTTTCATAATGTAACGCCCGTTTCAGATCTTGGTCGTTTGCGATGATGTCTAAACTCGCAATTGACGTCTTGCTATCCTCCAAAGCCCTGATAATTGGTTCGTCCTCCGGGACAAACACCTTTGGCTTCTACGGATGAGCCTTCTGTCCTGATGGGGTACTGTCCTCTGGGACAGCTTGTTTCGGTCTCCATTCTCGTAGCCTCCTCCTCCAGAGGGATAATTTCTCCACCTGAGCTGTTTCCTCAGCCCCTATAATTTTCTCCTGCTCTCTGGAGGGCTGTTCATGTTGCTGTCCCTATTCAGTGAGGTGTGCGGCCAAGATTTGTTGTTGCCATCTCCGCCGTTGGGTCCTAGTCAATGGCGGGATCCTTTTACGATTATCCATCCAGTTCGTATCGGCGGCCTTTCTGGCCATCGCATAGCATGAGGAGTTATCACCACTTGGTCGACTGAAGTAACCCGCAACACTTCGCTGTTTTTCTCAAAGCTAACCTCGGCAACGGTATTATACAGTGAAAGACTATCCTAAACCGAACTCCTCCATGGGGATTTTATGGACCTCCCCAACCGTTTAAATACGCTCTTCTTTGACGTGGCCTGCTCCCGATTTGACCTACCACCCGAGGCTGGCCGGTTCCTCCTACCAGGCCAGACACCCACAATATTAATTTGAGCCGGCAATGGCTCTATATCGATCTTCATCTTTCGTTTGTCAGCCAGCCGTTGGCGGCCTTCCTTAATAGCTTTAAGTACCGTGTTTCTGAAAGCGATACAACTTCCAACCTGATGTCCGAACAAGCCATGCCATTTGCAATAGAATTTTCCACCCAATTCCTCGTTGGATGACATCTTATGGCCTTCTTTAAACCAGAGGTGATTGTTCTTTAACAAAAAGTCAAATATTTGCTCGGTTTTAGATATATCGAAAACATTTTGTACATTGGGATGGGCTTTCTTCCTCTGAGGTACTTTGAGCCCCAGACAAGTATATGTCTTTCCTTGCGATATTTCCTCCAGGAACGTCTCATCTGGCTCCTCCGGTCAGTCTGTTTCGTTCCCTTGGACTTGGACAAGATATGCTCCGTTTCTGAATTTTTCCCTAGCTGCCTGAGAATCCCGTAGAAGCTGTTCTGCGTTAACCGCTTTCCCAGCAAACTTCCGGAGGTCATTGTATTCCTGCAGGACTAGTTTCTCTGGGAGCTGGTGTGTCATATTATCGATAGCCATATTAACCATCTGATTTTTCAGGTATCCGGACCTGACATTGTCCCTCGGTCCTACAGAACCTCTTAAAAAATTGCTCCATTGGTTCATCGTGCTTTTGCCGTAGGTTGGTCAGGTCCGAGACCGTCACCTCTGGCAGCGGGCTATAAAAGCATTCGTGGAACACCCTTTCGAGATCCGCCCAAGAGTTACACGAATTTGGCGGCAGAGACGCATACCACGTGAATACCGGTTCTGTGAGGGACAACGAGAATAGTTGGAGTTTGAACCAATCGTTGGTTCCAAACTCTCCTCCGCACTGAGCTATGAACAGGTTGATGTGTTCAATGGCAGACCGTAAATCCTCACTTGAGAATAACATAAATTCTGGGACCCGTGCATTCCGGGGGAGCGGGTGGTCAATGGCAATCTGATCCGGGAACAACCAATGATAGTGCGGCCGAGCAGAAAGCCGGATAGAATCGCCATACAACCTCCGGATTTCTTTCTCAATGACTTGCGGATTAATAATCAGCCGCGGTGGAGGAGCAATTTTGGCGTATCCTCCAGGTTGTCCAAGGCCTAGCAAGATGCAAGGAAAGTATTGTTGATGGCCCTGTGGAGGGTGAGTCGGAGGCGGACGTCCTTGATTCCCCTCGGCTGGTACTCGCAGAGGTGCTGCTGATGGAGGGACAAAATTTCTAAAATTAATAGGGGGACCCTGCTTTGCATGTCCGTAACTCTGCTGTGCAGCTGGTCCAGGAGGGAGAGCGTCCTGGTGTAACGGGTCGGATGGTTCCTCCTCGAACACCTTTCCGTCGGCCTAGAAATTCCTCAAAGTTCACGAGAAACTCGCTAGTACAGCCTTACACATGACTCCATTCTAAGCTAGAAGCAAGAACACCACTAGATGCACCCGACAAAGTAGAATATATATTAGCACTCTCAAACGTAAAGTGAAGTACAACTTAGGGGTCCTCTCCTATATATAGACACTCTAACGGACCAGGCTTAACACAAGCCAAAGCATATCCACACTCAGATAGAGTCTATCTATACAAGATACAGATAAAGATAGCTAAATAAAGAAATACAAATAAACTAAGTCTAATGGATAAACACCAACTCGGTCGGAGGGCGATATCGGAACTTCTAGAACTTTACGGAATATTTCAGAAGGTTCCGGAACATTCCGGAAGGTTCCGGAACTTCTCGATCGATCTCCTCTAACCTTCCCGCGTTTCCGCGCCGCAGGCCCCTCCTCGACGCCCTTCTGCATTTTCTGCGGTGTTGCTCGGCCACTATTTCGGTTAGGGACATCCTCCCCCACTCGAACCAGGCATTGCCCTCAATGCCTCAAAATCTCAGACAAGCTCCTTGAACTGCCGTAAGTCCTTCTCCGGCTCCCAACTCATCTCGGACTCAGGTAGTCCATGCTATTTGACCAAGTACTCCGTTGATGGTGGTCTATTCTTGTGTCGGACCACCCTATCCACAACAATCTCCTTGGCCACTTTGTCATATGTCATCCGCATTTCTGAGGGTGCCCTTGTCGATTCGTTCTGGTTTGGATCTTGAACATCTTCGCGATATGGTTTTAATAGACTGGTGTGGAACACGGGGTGGAGCTGGGATAGAGCCTCTGAAAGCTCGACCTTGTATGCCACCTCGCCAACCTTCTTCCGCACCGGGAATGGGCCTTCCTAACTTTGCAGCAAGCCCTTGCGCACCTCTCTAACACAGCCATGTTGGTATATCTTTACGAGCACCGTGTCCCCTTCTCCCAATTCTCAAAACACCCTCTTCTTGTCGGCCCACTTCTTCATTTTTTTTTAGACTTCTTCAAGTAAAGTCGGGCCAATTCTGCATGACCTTGCCAACACTTGGAAAAGTGGAATGCTGGTGGGCTCGGGCCTTTGTATGTTCCCACCAAATCCTTCAGCGTCATGGGCTGAAAACCAAGCACTATCTTAAATGGACTCTTTCCCGTACTCTCGTTCTTCTGCAAATTAAAACAAAATTGTGCAACATCAAGGAGAGAGGTCCAATCCACATGGTTTACCATGACATAGAGCCGAAGGTACACTTCAAGCACATGATTGACACACTCCGTCTGTCCATCGGTCTGGGGGTGTATCATCATGGAGACCTTCAATTCTGACCCAAATAATCGAAAAAGCTCCATCCAAAACCTTTTGGTGAACTGGGAGTCTCGATCATTGATAATGCTTGTCGGCAAGCCCCAATACTTGACGACATGATCCGTAAATAGTTTGGCCGTCATCTCCACCGTACACTCCTTTGGTGCGGGTATGAACTCCGCATACTTCGACAACCGATCCACCACCACAAGGATAATCGTGCAACCCATGGACTTCGTCAATGCAACAATAAAGTCCATATATATATGCTCTCCTGCATCCTCCCAGGTATCGGCAAGGGCTGCAGCAATCCTGTGGGTGATAGGTTCTCTACCTTATCCTGCTGACAGATAAGGCATGTCCATACATATTCCTTCATGTCCCTCTTCATGCCCGGACAATAGTAGCATTCTCGGAGGAGGGCCAAGATCCTCTGAATGCCTGGGTGTCCGGCATACTTGGTGTCGTGACATTCTCGCAGGATATCTCTCCTCAACAGTGGTCGACTCTGGTATCGGGCCCTCTCGTCTGCGATCTATTTCTCCACCTTGTCGTATTTGTTCTACACCGGGGTTGGCTATCTGTACCTATACGTCAGGCTCTTATGCACTCTTTGAACACAACCAAGCCGGCATACCTTCATGAGCCCCATGTTTTCTTCTTTAGACTCTTGGAACATCCTCCTCTGGCCTGTCCACGTCTTCACTCCTCGCCAAGACCTCTCCAGGTTGAATCCAATGACTCCTACACAACCTCGCCAATTCTTTCTAAGGTGTATTTTTGGCTAGCTTGGTCCCTCGTATACTTCTACTAGCTTCTTCGGCATTACCGGTTGGAACTCAAACACTCTCTTGCAACTCAAAGCGTCTGTCACACCATTCATCTTTCCAGGTCGACGTTCGCTCTTGAACTCAGTCTCCCAAAAGGAACACACACAATATTCTTCCTTAACACCCACTAACCCATTAGGGGACGTCTGGTACATAGACCGAGGGGTTGGTATTGCTCTACTCACAAAGTTGACACCACAATTGATCTTCCTACGATGGGGTAGCCACTTAGGAAGACCATCCCGTGTGGTTTCCCCGACTCCCTTGAAGGCTCGCTCTAGGTCGTTAGGTAGGCCTCCGATGTCTCGCTCGCAATCACTATGGATGTTCTCGTCACTCTGAATAGCTGCTATAGTTGACTCCCTTTCTCTCTAACCTTTTCTTCAGTTGTTTTGGGTTGAGCTTCATATCTCTATAAACCATCACGTTACACAGTGTCCCACCTTCTGTGATTGTGAACCTTTGCTCATGCGGGACCAGTATGGGCTTGACATAGTCCATGAACGTCATCCCTAGAAATACCGCATACTCATCCATAGGAGCTATATTGAATAGTTTCGTACATGTCCAATCGCCGAGCTGAATGTGCACGTCTCTAGCCACACCAGATATGGGAGTCCACCCACCATTGACTCCCTTAAATCATCCTCCAGAAGGTACCCACCGTAGGCCAATTTTACGGGCTAGTTGCTCACTCAGGTAGTTGTCGTAAGCGCCCGAGTTGAGCAAGCATGCCAGCAACACTCCACCTATCCACGCTTTAACGAGCATCCTTCCTCTAAGGGTATCAGCAGGGCCGCCTTTTTTATGCAGTACCCGGCCTTCTGTCGCCTCCAGCAGCACGTCCAACACTACAATGCCTCATCGACTTGGACAATCCCTAGCATAGTGATCATTGCTCTTGCAGACAAAACACCCATCATAAGTCGGTCTTGGCCTTCTCGCATTCCCGACCCTAGATTCTGATTGCTGCCAAGTCTCGCTGGTATCACTAGCCGGTGGAGTTTGCCAAGTTTGGTCTCCCCCACTTCTGCCTTGGTTAATCCTCCTTGATTTGTCGTCTTTATTTTGCTCCATTCGCTCAACCTCAAGTAACCATTGAGCGTGCTTGATTATTTCGTCGACTTGGACAATCCCTAACGTCTGTCACACCATTTATCTTCCCAGGTCGACATTCACTCTTGAACTCAGTCTCCGAAAGGAACACACACAATATTCTTCCTTAACACCCACTAACCCATTACGGGACGTCTGGTACGTAGACCGAGGGGCTGGTATTGCTCTACTCACAAAGTTGACACCCCAATTGATCTTCCTACGATGGGGTAGCCACTTAGGAAGACCATCCCGTGTGGTTTCCCCGACTCCCTTGAAGGCTCGCTCTAGGTCGTTAGGCGGGCCTCCGATGTCTCGCTCGCAATCACTATGGATGTTCTCCTCACTCTGAATAGCTGCTAGAGTTGACTCCCTTTCCCTCTAACCTTTTCTTCAGTTGTTTCGGGTTGAGCTTCATATCTTTATAAACCATAATGTTACACAGTGTCCCACCTTCTGTGATTGTGAACATTTGCTCATGCGGGACCATTATGGGCTTGACATGGTCCATGAACATCATCCCTAGAAATACCGCATACTCATCCATAGGAGCTATATTGAATAGTTTCGTACATGTCCAATGGCCAAGCTGGATGTGCACATCTCTAGCCACACCAGATATGGAGTCCACCCACCATTGACTCTCTTAAATCGTCCTCCAGAAGGTACCCACCATAGGCCAATTTTACGGGCTAGTTGCTCACTCAGGTAGTTGTCGTAAGCGCCCGGGTTGAGCAAGCATGCCAGCAACACTCCACCTATCCACGCTTTAACGAGCATCCTTCCTCTAAGGGTATCAGCAGGGCCGCCTTTTTTATGCAGTACCCGACCTTCTGTCACCTTCAGCAGCACGTCCAACACTACAATGCCTCATCGACTTGGACAATCCCTAGCATAGTGATCATTGCTCTTGCAGAAAAAACACCCATCATAAGTCGGTCCTGGCCTTCTCGCATTCCCGACCCGAGATTCGGATTGCTGCCAAGTCTCGCTGGTATCACTATCCCGTGGAGTTTGCCAAGTTTGGTCTGCCCCACTTCTGCCTTGGTTAATCCTTCTTGATTTTTCATCTCTATTTGGCTCCATTCGCTCAACCTCAAGTAACCATTGAGCGTACCTGATTATTTCGTTGACAGTTGAAGGGAACTTCTCCTTAATCATCAACTTAACCCACGGCCTTAGGCCCTCCAAGAATGTCAACAACGCCTCCTTAAGGGACATACTTGGCACCTCCAACAATAGATCCGAGAACTTCTCGATGTACTCCTTGAAGTGACCCTCTCGATGCTCTAGCCGAGGAATTGTACACCACGCCTCCTTCTCTGCATTGGCCGGTGCAAATTCTGCCTTAAGTTCAAGGTTGAATATTCTTCAAGTCGTGATGCCTCCTTCATTGCCAAGAATCCCCTTGTTCCGCCTCCACCAAGTACGGGCCAAGCGCTTTAAGAATCGAGATGCCGTTCAGATTTTGGCTTCATCTCCCATGATGTCAAAATTCTCGAGGCATTTATCCATATCATAGAGAAAATCATCCATAGCTCGAGCCTTCCGCTCCCCGGCATAGCTCTCCGGTCATGGTATATTTCCCTTTGGAGCAGTCAAGGCAACCCCGATCGGTCTCCTCGCTTGAAGTTCAGCTAGTGCTGCCCTCAACATTGCTAACTCCTCTTGAACATTCGAAGGTTCTGCAACCTTAGCTTTCTCCAGCCTCGCGATCTGGACCTTGCACTCCGCCACGGTCTAATTCAAAGTGAGTACCTTGGCCTTTAGCGCCTCGGTAAGCTCCATTGTCGTCAGTTCCCATTTTCTAGACTTCTCCCTCTCGGCATCGATCGAAACCAGTATCCCATCACGCAACTCACTACCCTCTAGTTCGCAGATACATTGCTCCACCTCGTCGAGCTTGTCATGATGATCTCTAACGGTCAGCTCCACGGGGCCAACCTGTTCTTAAATGATCCCATGATATCCGCAGACTGGTCCCTCACATTCTTTCGGCTCTGCCTCGGGACCTGGTTCTCAACATCGAACTCAGCGTCGGACTTGTCGGTCGCCATACCTCAAACGCAACTCTGTTACCACTTGTAACGGGTCGGATGGTTCCTCATTGAACACCTTCCTGTCATTCTAGCAATTCCTCGACGCTCACGAGAAACTCGCTAGCACAGCCTCACACATGACTCCATTTTAAGCTAGAAAGCAAGAACACCACAAGATGCACCCGAAAAAGTAGAATATATATTAGCTCTCTCAAAGATAAAGTAAAGTACAAATGAGGGGTCCTCTCCTATATATAGACACTCTAATGGACCGGGCCTAACACAGGCCAAAGCATATCCACACTCAGATAGACTCTATCCATACAAGATACGGATAAACTAAGACTAATGGATAAACACCAACTCGGTCGGAGGGCGATATCAGAACTTCTAGAATATTCCAGAATATTCCAGAAGGTTCCGGAACATTCCAGAAGTTTTCGGAATGTCTTAAGGGATCTTCACTAGCCTCCCCACATTTGCGCGCCGCAGGCCCCTCCTCGGCGCCCTTCTGCAATTTCCTCGGCATTGCTCGGGCACTGTTTCGGTCCGAGACATTGGTATGCTGCCTGCCCTCAGGGGGGGCAGTAAGGTTGGAGCTAGTGCACCCAAACCTCAAGCCACTGCTACAGCCGACGGAGCTAAGCCCCATGGACCCGAAGGAGCAGAAGCTGCCCCGCCCCCCAAGGCTGATTCGTAGGTGGAGCAGATGCACCACCCAAGTCATCCCCGGAGCAGGAGGAGCAGCCGGAGATGTTGAGGCCGTGGTCGGCCGTGCCCCCCAAGGGTCAGCCGTTTCTCCTCTGGCAGGGACATTTCCTTGACTGTTCGCCCACGCGGGTAATGTGCGCGCACTCACTCCACCGAACAAAGGATTATTTTGCCATTGAGTGGCTGGTGATGTGTACCCCTTGTTCTCTGGATGTCTCTGATGTGGCGGCGGCGGCCTTAAGATGGTCTACCCTGAGGACCGCCAAGGTCCTTCAGCTACTGTCTCATTCGGGGGGTTATTGCTTTACTTTTCCTTGCTTCGTATGGTGACGTTACCATACTGGAGTGTCGTTGGAGGGCATCCAGACGTGCCCCCCTGCGGTACCTTCATCAGAGTTGCATTTTCATCATTTTCGGGACCGACCGCTGGCACTTTACCTTTGCGTAACTCCTCATCTCTCGTCCATACGATCTCGTTTCGGATAGTTCATTTTAGGACGTCTATGAGATATTGAGAGAGGGTCAAGGCCGACTCATAGAAGGATGTTTGAATTT